TGGTTCTATGCCTTTATTAATAAAACTTATTTAAAAAATACAATGCCTTCTGCATTTTTGTTTTGCTTTTTCCCTCCATTGTACCGAAATCGTACCGAACCGTGATGTCTGAACCGAGGTATGAACCGAACCGTGACTTCTGTGTACCGTTCCACCCCTACTAGATATGTTTTCTATTATTAGTAGCGTGTCCACATGTTTGTGCTAATATTAACTCTTAATGTGTATTTATTTTGTTTAATTATATTTAGGTATTTACCATCAAAGGGTTTTCCCTAGTGAACTATCCCGAAAGTGATGAGACGGATGAGTATATTAAAGACAACCCTCCAACTCCACACTGTGATGTTGTTCGAAAGAAGACGAGGAATGGAAACATTCAGGTATGCTTCAGATACTGTACTTTAAAATGCTGCTGTTTCTATAAATGGTTCAAACGTACTTCCCCGTGACTAATTTTAATAGAATGTAAGCCAAAATGTATTACATCTTGAAATTGAAACTCCTTTTTTGCAGGTGGTTGGAGTAGCTGATTTTTCTGATCCTCTGATTGACTCAAATGAGAGTATAATAGATGAAACTGATGAGGATTCTAGTCTGCAGTCAGACAATGAAGTTGTTCCAAAAAATATTTTGGTATGTCTCTGACACTCTGGGCACATTTCTACCAAAATATTTCCCCTGTATTAGATTTCCATAGAATGTGAACAAAAATGCATAATCATACATGACATAATTCCCTTTTTGCAGATGGATAGAGTACCAGATTTTTCTGTTCCTCTTAATGAGTCAAGTGATGACAGCATGGATGAGCCTTCCACTTCTATGTCTGAAATGGCTTCACAAAGGCCGAGGAGAAACTGTCACCGCCCTGTAAGCCTAATTTTTTCATACATTATATCACTTAATGGTTAGTGCTAACTAACGCAGTGTGGGCGGCGTCAGATGTTTAACGACATACCGCTGATCATGTACTTCAAAACAATTTTACCCCCAAGCGAAATACAAGAACTTCGCCGTGAGTATATCGGGGCCTTTACTCTCCTCACGTAATAAGGGAAAACTTTGTTCATATTGGAACTCGATCTAACAGCTTTGTGTAACGATAAAGGTAAACATTAATAAAATACATTTTTTAAAAATATTTTTATAGCCTGTGATGCGACTAGAGAGGAGTCAAATGCACATCTCCAGAAACTTGAGCCTTAAATAGTTTATAGTCAAACTATAGTACTAGTAACTTTAGTTATTTCACTCATTTACCTGATGCTAGGGATGCTCCGATCCGATATTCGTATCGGGTATCGGGTCCGATACTGCCATTTTTGCCGGATGGGGTATCGGTCAGACGAGGCCGATCCAAATCCGATATTGTGCGTATAGCCTACTATTCTGTGTTATTGTTAAGCCCCACAAAAGGCACAAAAACATTATAAAGCACCATAAAGTTTTCGTGTACTATATTACAAGTGTTCTTAAGCCATTATAGTATAATGTGAGATAGAAATGAACATTTAAGTCATTAAATTCAAAATCACGTAAACTTTTGCCTCCGCTGCGGCTGTCATTCATTCTCCATTCAGCATTCAAACAGCGCGTCGCCTTCGGTTACGAGTCAGTCAACATGATGAAACCCTCTCCAAGATGATTCAATGTTACTCTTATTATACTTGATCTGTAGATAAAGCTCTATGGTTTCGCATAAAACAACTTTATCTTGCTAGACTTTATTGCTGTAACTTAATCCTGTTACTTTCTACCGGCCGGGTGTCTGTTAGATCACAACACTGGAGTCAGCTGCACTATAATTGTTCTTCACACGCACAGTAACTAAAATTTAAAACTGTTAAAAGAAAAGGTTTAATAAACTATTGCATAGATAGATACTGTATAATACACTATGCGATATGTCTTTCGTTTGTGCTTTGAACTTTTCAATGCGGACTCGACGCGCGATTCCGTGTTGCTTCAAGCGCATCATTCTGCGCTCGGGATGCGCATAAGCGCTTTGTGCCGCACTGTATTGCAGCCTTTCATAATCATAATACAGTGACGCAATGAAAGATTATTAATAGCCTTTCTTGTTCTATCTATCATATGTTGCTGCCTCATTAAACAGCAGTGCTATACATTTAAAACATGTCTCAATTTTATAGTAGCCTATAGCTATAAAATAATTTATCTTTTTGATTTTTATCTTGTTTTTCATGAATGTATTTTACAACAATACAAAGAGCAATGTGTAACGTTTTACCAGATTTAGTGTTACATTTATTGTCTCTTATTTGTTTTTTTCACTAAATGTTCAGATTTTATACAATTATTGTCGACTCGTGATTTTTCTAGACTAAATTTTATTGCTGAATTATCCACTAATCTAGTTTATAATAGCATTTTTGTCATAGATTATGATCATATATTTTTTGAATTAGTTTTTCTTTATAATGAAGTTGTCTGTATTAAGTAGATTGTGTTTAACACACAAAAGAGTGCTTATCAGAGTTCAACACACAAAGAGTTACATAAATTCTACTTGATTTAAAAAAAACTGTGTTGGTATCGGATCGGTATCGATCGATACTTTGAATTTTTGGTATCGGATCGGTTCTGAAAAAAGTGGTATCGGAGCATCCCTACCTGATGCCAGTCAATTGTTTCTCCAAATAATATTGATAGGGGTGTGCCCTTTTATGCTTTTCTCTATATTCTCTTGTTTTTAGGCTCTTGGTCTAATCGTTATCAACAGTACGTTTCTAATTTCATTTACTTGGATTAAACTTAATCTACATTTTACTTAACGCCCCTATAGAATGTATGTCATCCCAATATGCAATGGTCAGTTTATCATACTAAAGGATTAAAATGTAAGAATTCTCAAATTACTCTATCCCATTCCAGATGTGCATGACCTTTATTGCTCACATGAGTAGTTTAAGAAAATAAACTTTTAGATATTGAGACATGGAATGGAAGCCGATGGTAACCAACATTTTCAAGACTTGATTAATGATAATCCATGTCGATACAATTGAAAGAAAGCGCTCTGTTTTATAAATCCATGTTAAAGACGCTTCTTACAGTAGTCCATAACTGCTGGTCAAAACGAGTTGTGTATTTATTTCAGTCATGTTATGAAAGGTCACTGAACAATAGTCATGCATATCTGGGATGAAGGTGAGCAAATTTCTTTTTTGTCTTTTTTGGGGGGACTAATCCTTTTTAACTTTTTTTTTTTTTTGAAAGATTCAAAGGAGTCTTGTAGAATCCGATGACTCATGTTGCGATAGTGAAGATGAGTATATTCCAAATCCCAGGGAGGAAAGCAATGACAGTGACTGCAGCTTGGAGTTATCCCTGGAAAATAAAAGGAAGAATTTCAAAATGTCATCCATTAGTCAGTGCAGAAACAAGTCTTCAAGTCATAGCCGATTTAAGTCCAGTCAGAACAAAAGTGAGTCTTCAAGTCAGAGTCGATTTAAGTCCAGTCAGAGCAGAAGATTTGAAACAAGTCATGACTCGGTACAAAGATTTCCTGATAGCCTAGAAGGAAAACACAAGGAGACGAGTGTTTCAATGACACCTGAAGAAGAGCCATCGATCTTTGTTAATCCAGTTTTAAAGGAGGATGGTTCCAGAAGATATAATAAAAAACATCACTGCTTGTATTGTGGACAGGTAGTTCAGAAAATGTCAAGACACTTGTCGCGTAGACACAGCGATGTGGTTGAGGTCGCAAAGGCATTAAGCTTGCCAAAGAATTCAAAAGAAAGGCGACGACAGTTGGATTTTATCCGAAACAAGGGTAACTTTGAACACAACACTCAAGTTTTGGAGAGTCGCAAAGGCAAACTCATCCCATGGAAGCAGCCAAAGAAAATGACAGATGGACAAGAATTCATGCACTGTGTTTATTGCTATGGAATGTTCCGAAAAAGAGTGATGTGGCGTCATTTTCAGGTCTGTAATTTCAAGCCTCAGGGTAAGACATCTAAACGAGGTAAAACAAGAGTTCAAGCTTTGTGTGCATTTGCTGAACCTGCTCCAATTGGATTTAGCGACGCGTACTGGAAGTTCTTAAGTGGTATGAATCAGGATGAGGTTGCAGTTGCTATTAAGGAAGACCGCTGCATTCTTGAGTATGGTTACAGACAGTTCAGAAAGAATGAGTATGTAATAAGCCAGCACCAATATATTCGACAAAAACTGAGAGAGCTTGGCAGACTGTTACTGGAAGCAAAAAAGTTGACACATGTGAAGACAATCAAAGAACTCATAAAGCCTGAAAAGTACACCCATGTTGTCTCGGCTGCAAGATGCCTAGCTGGATTCAATGGTGAAACTGGCAAATATAAACGTCCGTCTCTTGCTCGCAAAGTTGGACATGGCTTGCATGCTTTAGCCATGTTTATCAAATCTGAAGGATTGAAGATGAAAGATACACAGACTACCAAAGATGCTGAGGAATTTGCACTGCTATACCAAGAAAGTTGGAAATTTGACATTGCAAGCCAAGCGCTAACTCAGCTTAACCAGACAAAGTGGAATTCTCCTCAGATTCTACCATTCACACAAGATGTCCACAGACTTCATTTCTATTTGTCTGAGAAACAGCAGAAGCAATTGAATGCCCTGCAAGAAGAGCCTTCTCCCTTGAACTGGAAGGACCTTGCTAAAGTGACCCTGGCGCAAGTTATCCTCTTCAACCGACGAAGAGCAGGAGAAGTATCCCGAATGTCCTTGTCGGCGTTCCTGTCAAAGGATACATCAGAGACACACGAAGATGTTAACCTAGCCCTTACAGCACTTGAGCAGAAGCTTTGCAAACATTTTGTTCGGATTGCCATAGTAGGAAAGAGAGGAAGGAAAGTCCCTGTTCTCCTGACCCCGGTCATGAGAGAATCGCTCGATACTCTGACTGAAAAGCGAGAAGAATGTGGAGTACTGAGTGAAAACGGATACTTGTTTGCATTGCCTCTCTCTGTCCATTATTTGAGGGGTTCCGATTGCATTAGGCAGTTTGTGAACGAATGTGATGACATCAAACACCCCAAAGCACTAACCTCAACAAAACTTAGGAAACACATTGCTACTCTGTCGACTGTTCTGAATCTCAAGACTACAGAACTTGACCAATTGGCAGATTTCCTTGGGCATAACATTGAGGTCCACAGAAAGCACTACCGCCTTCCAGAGGGCACCCTCCAGCTTGCTAAAATAAGCAAAGTTCTTCTAGCGCTGGAACAGGGACGGCTAGGAGAATACAAGGGGAAGAATCTGGATGAAATTCAGCTTGATGTGACTGGTATTAAGTCTTTTTTTATTATTAAAGGGATACTCCACCGTTTTTTCATATTAAACTGTTATTCCCTTAACTAAGACGAGTTGATACATACCTCTTTCATCTCAGTGCCTGCACTTAATCGCTCTGGCGCGCCATGACACTTTGATAGCACTTAGCTTAGCCCAGTATATTCAATGGTATCTAACAGCAATGAATTTAGAAGTGACCAAACACATCAATGTTTTCCCTATTTAAAAACAGTTACACGAGTAGTTATACTACTTGTGTAACTGTCACTAGCACTTATCACTAGCACACCTACGTCGCGTCTGAACGTGACAAGTTTAATTCGTTTGAAGTACTTGTATTAAATGTTACGCTCTCAGATATAAGAAAAAAATCCCTATTATCTCTAGCCAGGGCCTTGCGCTGATTTCCTAAAAGAGTTTGCAGATTTTCTCTCAGATCTATTGGTCAACGTCGATAAAGCATTAATTGTTGGAGATTTTAACATACACGTAGATAATTCAAATGATGTGTTAGGGGCTGCGTTTACAGATTTATTAAACTCCTTTGGGGTCAAGCAAGTGTCTTGGTTAAGGGAATAACATAGTTTAATATGAAAAAACGGTGAAGTATCCCTTTAAGGAAAGTTAAAAAGCACAGCATTGTCCATCTATAAATCGTTCTCTTTTAGAATAGCAGATAGTATTTGATAAGTAAAAGAATAGAATTGATTATAACAGAGTTGAAGTATTTGACCTCAACATACTGAAGAAGAGGGCAGGTTTTATTGTTATAATGTGACTAACTTGATAATTTTAGTCTATTCAGCTATTTATGTAGCCATTTTGTATACTCTTGACAGATTGATTGCAGTTTCAGGTTTACAGCTCATTCATATTCTATTACTTGCTGTTTTAGAGACTGTTGACATGGATGGGTGTTCACAAGAGGAAGGTATGTTTGTATGATTTAAAAAAAATTGGTTATGAAAGATCTCTCATTTAAATTAGACAATTAAATGTAGATGTTATTGCACAATCATTACAGGATTGCACATATTTGGATGTTGCATTAATATAACCTTTCAGTTTAAATTAATAGTTGACATGTTTTTGACATGCTGCCTGTTGCATGTGGGCAATGTTTGACATTGTTTCCAGTTGATTGTGTGGCACAGTAAGCTACACCACAGGTATAGTTATCCAAAGGTAGTTGATCTCCACAAGAATTGTGTCCTTTAGCAAGATGATTCATCCCATTGCTCCAGGGCTATTGCCACTGTAATGTGTTCTGTAAGTTGCTTTGGGGAGAAAGTATCTGCCAAGGGCATACATTTAAATTGTGCTCCCAGTGTGAATGCAAGTCTAATTTAAACCGGCTCTCTCTACCACTGTATTGTAGAATTATGGAAACCATGTGTAATTTGTTGTTCAACTCGATTTGTTTATGTATAGCGCTTTTCACAATACATATCTGCAAGACTCGTGCCATATACTGAATATTTATAAACTTGTACTGTTGATCATTGCTTTTTATGTCACCATGACACAAATTTTATGCATAATTGATCCTTAGTTTATATTTTGATTTTTATTTTTCCTCAAACTTTTTTTTGCACTCAGATGACTTTATTCCAGACGTACAGGAGCCTGAAGTTGAGGACAGTGTGGCATCCACACAAGAACCTACATCCACACAAGAACCTACATCCACACAAGAACCTACATCCACACAAGAACCTACATCCACACAAGAACCTACATCCACACAAGAACCTACATCCACACAAGAACCTACTTCCACGCTGCATTCCCAATACCAGAGAAAGTCGGCAAAAAAGAGAGGTGAGCTTAGAAATGTTAAGTGGATTGATTTGTCCCGTTCGTCTTGAAGACAGAAAGCTTTATTCTGAATTATATTATTTTATCAAATCTTTACTTTTGATCACTGCACATTGATAGCTGTCACAATAGGTTTTGTTTACACAGTCTAATATTCTGATTATAGTTGATTTACAACCTCAAACCTGAATGAGTTTGTTTCTTCTGCTGAACACAGAAGACATTTTAAAGAATCTGTAACCAGACAGTTGATGTCACCAATGACTTCTATAGTATTTTTTTTCCTACTATGAACGTCATTGGTGCCGTCAACTCTCTGGTTACCCACATTCTTTAAAATGTTCAGCAGAAGAAAGAAACTCATACAGGGTTGGAACAACATTATGGTGAGTAAATGATGACAGAATTTTGGGGTTAAACATTTTCATTATATGATCAAAAGAAAAATTGAACTCTATAACGATTTGCTTGGATTTAATCAAAAGTGTGGGATGCACAAAGGGAAGATTTTGCGTTTACACAAGTTTTAATATATTCATCTGCATATCATTTCCATATGCATATTCCCATCGATGTGAGACTGCTGTGTTTAACAGGACAATACATAAAATATGAGATAGAGACTGTAAAAATCGAGTATCTTTGCCTTGTTTTTAAAATAAAAATGTCCGTACAACAAAGTATATTTGCCAAAATTGTATAAAATACTTTTAAGTAGACGGTCTACTAATGCTGTAATGAGAGTTAGTTGACATGTAGGTGCAATGTTACTCCGTTAACAGAATGTCTAAAGGGGACCATCAAAATAAAGTGCTACCACACCTTTTACTGGATTGCACTGATTTATTATTATTATTATTATTAGTCAAATGTTTTATTCAGAAACAAACTAAGAGTACTTTTAGCCTCTGAACCAAGTCAATATGGCAATGAATGACCTGTGTGATCAATACAATAGTCTTTCAGTTCAGATTAAGGTTTAAAAATCCTGAACTTAAGACATTAACCTAAACTTAATAACATGTTCTTTTTATGTTTACTTAGGTAAAGAAACTGCTGTCAAAAGAAGCTGGACAACAGATGAATGTGCGGCAGTAGAAAGACACCTAAGGAAATTCATTGTGAGGAGCCAAGTTCCAGGGAAAAAGGACTGTCAGCGCTGCGTTGATGCAGAAGCTCAAGCGTTAGGAAATCGAAACTGGAAGGCGGTCAAATACTTCATCAAAAATCGTATTTCTGCCATAAGAAGGAAAGTACAGTGAAATACAGGTAGCTCAACGTATTGGATGCCTTCCCACTAGCATTTACATCGGGATATACATTCTAAGTGTTTTCAACAGTTTACATTTAGTTGTTTTCATTGTATTATCCTCTTAAAGGGTTAGTTGTCATTTACTCTTTTTTTTGTCATTTCAAACACATAAGAAATTAGTTCATCTTTGGAACATAAAATATGTTTTGAATGAAACCTGAGAGATTTCTGTTCCCTCCATTGTTTGCATTGCCTCTCTCTGTCCATTATTTGAGGGGTTCCGATTGCATTAGGCAGTTTGTGAACGAATGTGATGACATCAAACACCCCAAAGCACTAACCTCAACAAAACTTAGGAAACACATTGCTACTCTGTTCATCCTAAACTTTCAAGCTTCAGAGCATTTATAACGTAGAAGTAATCCATGTGGTTTAATCCCTGTTTTATAATGTGAATGCGCTCTCACTTAATCCACCCACTTAACATTATCCAACAATTGCAATAACTGTGAACTGGACTTTGCATTGATGCAGCACACACAATTATACACATTTTCTGGTTAATAGTGATTCTTTGCCTCGTATGCCCTTTTCCTTGTTTGTTATATATTGCTCTGCCCTGTTTTTGTGCTATTGTTGATCTCACTTAATCAATCTATTATTCATATTCTCCACCAATGCAATAACTGTGAACTGGACTTTGCATCGCTGCAGCGCACACAATTATTCTCATTTTTCCTGGTTACTAATAATTCTTCGCCTCATATGCGATTTTCTTGTTTGTTATTTGTCACATTGATAACTTTTTCTTTATGAATGTTTTGAAGTTTGAAAGTTTAGGGTGAACGGTTTTTAAATGGAAAGATGGAAATCTCTCAGGTTTCATTCAAATATCTTCAGTTGTGTTCTGAAGATGAACAAGTTTCTTATGGGTTTAGAATGCCTTGATGGTGGGTGAATGAAGGCAGAATGCTCATTTTTGGGGGAACTAACCCTTTAAAGTTCTTTGTTGTCTTATACTATAACATATAAAAGGGTTAGATCCAGTCAATTGTCTTAAGTGTTTTATAGCAACAACAAAAAAAGACTGTTGGATTGTGTTTCCTTGAGTTGCTTATAGCATGTTTATTGCTGTAACATTTATTTTGGTCAATGTTATTAAAATGTTGTATAACCTCTTTTTGAAAAAAAAAACAACATTGTGTAATACCAAATATATGTTCATTGAGGACAAATCATGTTTTAAAGTTGTTTTTTTTAATCCAGTGTTTTGTGTAAAATATTACTCACTGTATTAGTGCTATAATTCCACTGGGTCTTAATCTTTATTCATCAGATGAATAGGGAGTTTTCATGTGAAGTCCTCAATTTAAACGAGTATATTATCTTTAAGCTGCAGTGAACATGACTGGCTAGGAACACAACTTCATTAGAAATAGTGGACAAGTAACCATGGGACAAACAAGATCCCCTTCAGCAAAACCGCACAGTTCATTCAATAACCAATACAATGCAGAGAAAGTACAGTTGGTGTCCTGCAGACTGAAGAAGTTCAGGCTGTGACCAAAATTTGAGGGCTCATTGAATTAGAAAAGTCTCTAGATTGGCTTTTGGCTTATGCCATGTTAATGGCTAAGCTAATATAGACGTGTGCAGATTAATTTAGAGGATATACATTATAATCTATAAAGGTTTATATGGTAATCAAGGGCAAATAATGGAAGTAGTTGATGTTTTACAGATAGTGACTTTGGTCCTTGCTAAGATATAAAGATGAGAAATGTGTGTGTATCTATGAAAGCGGACCCCACAACTCCTAAATGTTTAATCCAGGCCCCACAAGTGACACAAAAACGCATGTGCAAACAATTTTGTTTGAATTTTGTTATATTGAAGTGATATTTCTTATTAGGAAATTTTTGTTATCTTGCTTGATTTTTTATAAGTCTGTAGAACCACTGGAAATGGTGGACCCCACAATTAGGCAAAAAACGGTGGACCCCCTTATGGTAGGAAAACAAGTATGTGTGTGTGTGTGTGTGTGTGTGTGTGTGTGTGTGTTAGGTGTCTTACCTGTGTGTGTGTGTGTGTGTGTGTGTGTGTGTGTTAGGTGTCTTACCTGTGTGTGTGTGTGTGTGTGTGTGTGTTAGGTGTCTTACCTGTGTGTGTGTGTGTGTGTGTGTTAGGTGTCTTACCTGTGTGTGTGTGTGTGTGTGTGTGTGTGTGTGTGTGTGTGTGTGTGTGTGTGTGTGTGTGTGTTAGGTGTCTTACCTGTGTGTGCTGTTTTCTTTTAATATGGTTTACTTTACTGTTGTTCAGCACATTGTTAGATAGTGCTTTATAAATGAACTAATCAAAAACTTTACTTCTCAATAACAAATATTTGTCATCATAAATCCCCAATGCTTCGACCAAAAATAATAATGATTCAATGCTCAATTGCAAGTTCTTGCTGTTTAATATTAACTTAGTAAATATTTGAACGTTTTCTACACTTGAAAGTTCAGAATAGTTTATGTGACGAGGCGGAAGCTCTGAAATGTGTGTGTATCAGTATAGTTAACTGATTATGCCTGATTATGCCTGATTATGCCTGATTATGGCAGGTTTGGCCTCACCTCTGCATTCGGGACATGCGATGCAGCTCCATGTCGTCGCTTCCACGAAAGCCCTTTGCGAAGGGATTGTTCTCGATCTTCAGCTGTGTGATCTGCAACACAACACACTGTGTGAGTCTTTTCATCCATTAGAAACCAACACTGGGATCCTCCGCCTGATCTGAGCTCCAGATCTCTGGTTATTAATGAGCCCACAGGAGACTGTGAGAAGGACGGCTATGGCACATCTTGGCAGGCAAAGCAGGAAAACCCAAAAGATGATTTATATATGATTGTCCTGAGTTTCTGTTAATGGGGGAATCCACTGTAACAACCATAAACATTAAACATGAAACCACTTGAATGTCTTCACTCGTGACGTTGAAGGCATGTAATCGGATGTTACAGGATGATGATGACTGGTGGTTTAGTTTTCTGAGGATGAAAAGATGAAATCTCCCACAGAAACGGGTTTGTTTGAAGCTTCTCTAATGTAGGAAAACATCTGTCCGTTGGGGAAAGATTGGTGTCCAGTTTGTCTTTGCATAAGTCTGAAAATGTCTAATAATTCCACATCTGAAGCACCAATAATTAATATTAATCCTGTCATAGTCTGAGATATAAAATAAAATGTCAAAAGTCAACGTCAAATATTTTGCCTTTTGTGAATAGTGTTCATCATTTAAAAACAAAGGGTTCGGCAACACTTTACAGTACGGTTCATTAGTTAACATTAGTTAATTAACATGAACTAACAATGAGCAATACATGTGTTACTGTATTAGTTCATCTTTGTTAACGTTAGTTAATTAAAATACAGCTGTTCATTGTTAGATCACAGTGCATTAACTGGTGTTAACTAATACAACCTTTGATTTTAATAACGTATCAGTAAATCTTCAAATTAATATTAACTAAGATTAATAAATGCTGTAGAAGTATTGTTCATTCTTAGTTCTTGTTAACAAAGGTAGTTCACTAATGTTAACTAATGAACCTTATTGTAAAGTGTTACTATTATCATTGTGATAATCTGATTTGATTACAAAATCTGTGAATCTGTGAAAGTGAATAAAAGACAGAACATAAAATGAAAATTCCTTACACAAGTACATAAAACACAAAAAAAGTTGTCAAGCATTTGCAAATAAAGTCAATCAGGAGTGAAACTGGCAAATCTACTAAAGCCACGTGACTCTCTCTCTCTCTCTCTCTCTCTCTCTCTCTCTGGCTCTCTGGCTCTCTGTCTCTCTCTCTCTCTGTCTCTCTCTCTCTCTCTCTCTCTCTGGCTCTCTGTCTCTCTGTCTCTCTCTCTCTCTCTGTCTCTCTCTCTCTCTCTCTCTCTCTCTCTCTGGCTCTCTGTCTCTCTCTCTCTCTCTCTCTGTCTCTCTCTCTCTCTGTCTGTCTGTCTCTCTCTCTCTCTCTCTCTGTCTGTCTCTCTCTCTCTCTCTCTCTCTCTCTCTCTCTCTCTCTCTCTCTCTCTCTCTCTCTCTCTCTCTCTCTCTCTCTCTCTCTCTCTCTCTCTGGCTGCTGTGCTGTGTTTCCTAACAGGACTTGATCTTTGACATTGCTTTGGCTCTCACTTGAGATGAGATCTAGTACCTTTGAGCTTTTATAAACCCACTGTGCGCTTGGCAGACTTCACAGAATTGAGTAGTTTTGTAAATGACACTTTGATGTCCTTAATGTGCACCTTTTACTAAAAGAAAAAAGAAAAACTCGAGATATGCGGCGATGTCGCATTTGCTGAGCGCGACCCGTGCGTGCAAATCGCTTGTTCGCAGAGTTGCTTTATGATGCTGTAGTTACTGTAGTTTCCTGTTGTTTTTGTCTTTATGTTCTTTTTTTCTCTCTTAATTTTTACTGCTCAATTTGATTAACCGAAGTACAGATTATTGCATTTCGAAAAAGCGAGGCAGTCCGTGATATTAGCATAGATCTATATGGCGTTTGTATAGTCGCATGAAATAACCACACATTGTTGGAGAATATGTGCATATATGCGCTGGTAAATTGTGTTTTGTAACTTGTAACTTATTGCTCATGCTCATAAATCTGGTCCACACATTGTTTAGCTGCAACCTGAAGACCCAAAAGGTTATTCAAAATCTATTATTTTTAATGACATACAGGTGCAAGTGCTTTTACTCTTTTAAGGTGTGTAGAATTGCTTTCTTAAAAATAGGCTATATGTTTAAAGACGTCGGCTAAATTAACAATTTGATGTTGCATGTAGGCTATGTAAATAATTAATATACTTCTTCCGTGTGTATTAAAAACCAACTTTTTAGGCTTTGTGTTAAAAGCGAAACACCAGAAGCTTCAACACGTCAAACAAAC